TATTGACCGCTGGCTTAAAGAGAAATTAGCAAACCTTATTTTTTTTCTATTTTCAGCTAAATTATTTATTTCAAATAAACTACTTCAACCTTAAGACTTAAGTCAACAACAAAGTTTCTCTTTCTCAAATCTTCCTCCAGTCTAAACAAGCAAAAACAGGTTTTGAGTTCAAGGAACTCGTATGTTGGCAAACTCATTTTTCCATAAGCTAAGCATAGGCTTTCCTGAATTTTTTGTTGGTACTGGAGATCAAATACAGGACATTATGCATGGGAAACATACACTTCTACTGAGGTACCTCCAGAGCTTAATACTAAATGTGATTATGTTTTTTCTAAAGTATTATAGATGTTTATACACCATTTACCACATCTCCCTTACAGCATAAGCCTGATGAAGGCAAGAAATACTTCACTTACCAACCCATACCCAGGGCCAAGAGGAGCAGTCTTAGGCACAAAGCAGGAGCTACAGCCATTTGTTGATTAAATAAACAAATGCATGAAGAAAGACACATCTGGTATCTGGTAACACATCCTAATTCCTTTCAAATTATAGCTACCAGTTGTAATGATTTTTTAGGGGGTATGATGCTAAGGATCAAATCCAGGACCTTGTGCATGTCAAGTACGTATTGTATCACTGACCTACAGCCCAGTCTCCCTTGCAATACTTTTTGATGACAAAAACACTCATTCTTTGACTACATTTTTAGGTCACTGAAAAAAAAGACATTGAAATATTCAACGTGAATAATAAACTTCAAATTTTTTGTTATGTATCAAAAATTATTTCCCTGTAAATTCTGTTTTCTAGACCTTCTTACTAATAATATGCCCAACATCATACTCTAGCCAAAGAGCATGAAAGGAGATTCATATACATCTGTCTTAAGACTTATTCTAAAAGTTAGTCACCTTCAGCTCAACTTCATTATTTAGGAGGGAAAAGTCTTCTCATTTATCTAAAATGAATTTCAATGGCACAGACCTTTCATTTTTGTCAGTGGCAAAGATATTAAAGTATAAATAATAGTTAACACGCTAAATTATGCAAACAAATGTATATGCAAACCAATATATAAAAATAACTCATATAATTATAAATGAAAACACTGACTGAAATAAGATTCAAATGTCCAAAGAGAAGCCTCACATAAAAGGCAGCAGGGAGGTTTGAAAACAGACAAAGCTCAATAAACACCTAAGACCAACACTGGTTTCCTTAAAAAAAGAAAAAGAGAAATATGTAGAAATATGGTAATAAGAAAGCAATCCTATTTGGCATGACCTAACAGTTTTTAATGTTTGCTCCCCTACATAGATACTTTTAATCAACAATTGCTTGTAAAGAAGTTTTGTTTTCTTTCAAATACTTTTTTTCTATTGGTGAGAAAACTAAACAAGGAAAGATAATTGGTGTTGCAACGAATGTCATGATTTCACCCACCCACATAAAAACAAACTACTTGAAAAAAAGTCTGAAACAATTTCACCACTCAAAATGTCATTTTATTTTTGGGGGTTTTCTACTGTACAATTTAGCAGACATATGAAACCTAAGTATGTAATAGTCTAGACCAAGGATAAATGAAAGACAGATATAATGACATAAAAAGAATCTGAAGTGGAAGGCTGAGATGGGGAAGATCATGGTTCAAGGCCAGCTGGGCAAAAAAATTAGTGAGACCCCTCACCTCAACCAATAAAAGCTGGGCACAGTGGCAAGCACCTGCCATCTCAGCTATACAGGAGTACAAACAGGAGGATCTCGGTGTAGGCTAGCAGGGACATAAACACCTTATTGGAAAAATACCTAAAGCAAAAAGGGCTGGTGGAGTGGTTCAAGTGGTAAGAGAGCCTGCCTAGCAAGTGCAGGCACTCTGAGTTTAAACCTCAGTATGGCCAAATAAATAAGCTAACAATATATGGTAAAATTTATGTAAGTCCATATATTATAAAACAGTACATCCCCATGATTTTACCTTATTATATATTCTAAACCAGTCATGCTACAAAATGAATAAAGATTCTAGATAGATGTCTAATATTGCACAATAATATTCTTTTCATTACTACTATAGTTTATTTTCTTTATCATTAATGACAGATTTTGCCTATAAAGTAATGCAGGTACATGAAAAACATTCACAGTATAAACAGTAATATACAATGAGAGACAGAGGATATAACTCCAAGGTACAGCACATGATCAGTATGTGTGAGGCCCTGGGTTGGATCCCCAAGAACCCCAAAAATCCGAGCCAATGAATGAAAAAAATACAGAGAAAAGTAAACCTCATCAATCCCTAAGAGGTGCAACCAATTAGTACAATATCATACATATTTCATGTGCATCTTATTGTAAGATTATGCTTTAAAAAATGGAACTATATCATAAATAGTTGACCATCTTCATGGGTTCCACATCCATTGCACTAAACTGAACAGACTTTTTCTCATCATTATTCCCTAAGCAGTAAGTACAACTATTTATACTGTATTAGAGATAAGTAATCTAGAGATGATTTAAGGTATACAAGAGGAAGTGCATAGGATATATGCAACTATGATACTATTTTATACAAGGAGCTTGAGCATCTGTGAATTTTGGTATCCAAACTGAGTCTAGGACCCAATTCTAGTAAGATACCACTGGACAATAAAAGGGCAAGTACACTTTTGTGTACCCTCATTTTTTAAATGTAAAACTCCATGACACCCATTTTAGATTTGCACGGCTGCTAAAATTTCCATTAAGGAAGGGCTGGCAGAGTGGCTCAAGTGGTCAAGTGCCTGCCTTACAAGCATAAAGCCCTGAGTTCAAGCCCCACTACCACAAAACAAATAAAAAAAATTTCCACTGAAGAGCTATACTTTAATATATTTAATCAGTCCACTACTGAGAGACATTTTTATTGTCTCTTATATTTTACAGTGTTTCAATGAACATCCTTGGATATACATACCCTGCACATGCCCCAAAATAACCATACAGTAAATTTCTGGAGGTGTGTATGTATTTAAACTTTTCTGTTTTGGTGGTGTTTTTTTGTCAGCACATGGGGCTTGAATTCAGGGTCTCGAATTCAGGGTCTCACACTTGCTAGGCAGTCACTCTACCACTTGAGACACACTGCCAGCCCTTTTTTATGTTGGGTATTTTCCAGATAAGTTCTATGAACCATTTGCTAGGGCTGGCTTTGAACCTCAATCTTCCTGAGTAGCTAGGATTATACAAGTGAGTCACTTGCGCACAGTGTGTATTTAAAATTTTAATGCTACCACAAGTTCCTTCTACAAGACCAACTAATTTATACTCCGTTTCCCTTTAATTACAAAGCATTATTGATATAAATCCGTTTTTAAAATTCAAAATCTGAAATTAGCATTAGTCATAAAATATGTATGCAGACTTAATTCCTCAATATTTTCACTTTTCAAGGAATTACAATTCAAAGTCAAAATGTCCCCTTATCAAAAAAAGATCATATAGTGATTCCTGCTAGAGTAAGAATTTTAATTTGTTGAAAAAATGCTTAAATGCAGAGTCTATCAATATGTATGAAGATGGAGAAGAATGGCAGGCAAATGATCTAGCCTATAAAAATAAAATATACTTCTAAAATACAAATTCAAAAAAGATGAACAACAAATGAAAAAAAAATACAAATTCAATCCAAGGTTTAGTGGATTCTTTAACTTGGTAACCAACTGTAGATAGATGTCCTGCTAGAACTTACTATACTAAAACACAGGAATTCTTTAAAAATGTTTAGAAATATTTTTGGTAATTAAGATATTGCTACATATTTATTTGTTGTTACTTCCAATTTTTTTTTTTTTTTGAGACAAGGTATCAGTACCCATAGTCCAAGCTGGCCTAGAACTCATGATACTTCTGCTTCAACTTCCCAGTCCGGAGACTACAGCAATGCATCACCACCCCCAGCAGCCAAATTATTCACTTTTAAGACACAGAACTCTAAAGTAATCCATGATTTTTTTTTTTAAAAACCCTATGTACATTAAGAAGAAAACAGGGCCACCCTAAAGAGTTCTTACTAACACAGAGCACTGAACAGTTTGTTTCTTGACATACACCCCATATATGATCTGTATGTTAATATTTTAAAATAACAGCAATTAATCTTCATAAAAATCTCTACAACAGACTGGGGATGTGGCTTACGTGGTAGAGCACCTGCCTAGCAAGCACAGGGTCCTGAGTTCAAACACCAGTACCATTTAAAAAAATCATTAAAATCTCTAGAATAAAAACAGATAAACTTCTACATTAATTCAGAAAAAAAGCCTAAAAAACTTATCTTACAGGTTTATGTACACATAAAAGTATAACCTCGTAAGTAATGAAAAAAATGCAAAGGTTACTCATCAGTATATTCTAAATATGAGGAAGGGCAAGTACTATTTATAAATATTATACTTATATTAAACATTTTTGAATATTTATCTTATTAACTAAATGAATTTTCAAGGCTAACATTATAAAATCCCAAGTAGCTTCTTTTTTGACAGATCATCATTAGCATTTTGATCATTTTACAAATATTTAGCGAGTGCTTATTAACTAATAAGCTTTATACTACCCACTGAATATAGAATGACAAACTTAGTCTACCTCCAAAAGTCTAATTTAGATTAACTCAATCCTGACTCTTAACAACATCTGACATATGTTAAACTTATGTAATGTTTATTTCAATGTTAAACTTGGTCAAAAGTCTTCGGTGATTTGTTTTCATCTCTGATTATAGTCCCTTTCCATTCTTCCCTAATCCAACTAATAAATAAAAACTTAAAATTCAACTGAGAACAGTACAGAAGAAAATTATTAACTTTAAATACAAAATATTTCATCCAGAAGTGTCCTATGTACAGAATGGAATACAAACACAGTCTAGTTCAAACATAAGTCACATACTAATCCAAGTTAAAAAAAAAAAAAAAAAAGCAGGTGATCCCTCTTCATACCTCCAGTGTTAGCTGTGTCTATGGGATGCTTGCATTTGTCATCTCTGCCCATGCTGGGTCACACCATGAACTCATTGTTTTTCCAGTATTTCATAATAGGATTTATGTATTTATTACTAGAAAAATATGCATTGATTTTAATTCATCCTCCAAATTTGTATTGCACATTTTCAAACAAAATAAAAACAAGCACAAACCTAACAGAAATTATTTGTAGGTTTTTGTTTTAAGTCAGTCAAATCTATTGATGGTACAACTCCAAAGTAACAGTATTATTAACAAAAAAGAAATATGCCATAACCTTGGGTGGGTAAAAACAAAGCCAAAGCATGGAGACTAATCAGCATGTTAAAAACTACCTATGTGTTCATGGAATCCTACTATGGCCATTGATTCTCCTTCTCTTGTCCCTTGATAGTCTGAATTCCCTGATATCAAGGTTCAATTAGTATGGTCTCAAGATATATGTCATTACTTTGCTATTTCTAGCCTAATCTATTCATAACAAATCTTGAATGCTTTGTTGGCAAGCAATGATTTCGATTATAAATTTGAAATTACCTTTCAAACTTATAATTCAATCTATTAAGAAACATATTAAATTGTTCCTATCTACTAAGGACTAGGCTAGAAACTGCAAACTGGGGGCAATATTCCCTTTTCCACTCACCTAATTCTGACCACAGATAAATCATTAGGGGTTGTCACATAAAGACAATCTCCAAGCATGACTGTGACATTCCAAAGTCCCAAGGTTCCATAACTACCCTCATACATATATATATAAAGAGCTGGATGCCAATGGCTCATGCCTGTAATCTTAGCTACTCAGGAAGCAGAGATCAAGAGGACTGAGGTTCAAAGTCAGCCCCAGGCAAACAGTTTGAGAGACCCTACCTTGAAAACACCCAACACAAAAAAGGGCTGGCAGAGTGGCTCAAGTGGTAGAGCAGATGCCTAGCAAGCATAAGGCCCTGAGTTTAAGTTCTAGTACGGAGGGAGGGAAGGAAGAAGAAAGACAGACAGATCCCAGCTGGGTATAGTCTGCTATTCTGAAGGCTGAGCACAAGAATTAAAAGACCAGCCTGGACAACATAGGGTAAACCCATCTCAAAATCAAAACAAAACAAAAATAAATGCTGATTTGATTTCATATAACTTTGAACTATTTTACAGCAATGTTAGAAAAAATGTTACAATTACTTTCAACTTCCCTATAAATTTCAGATAGCTAGTTAGTACCAAATTTCCAACAAAAAGTAATGCAATATAAGAAAAGAAAAGTGAATATTTACCACCCTTTATATAATAGTTATCTCATGAAATCAAACTGGGCCCCTATTCATATCTTTAAATACCAATTTCTTACTAAGGTATTTTTTCTTATTGTTTGGTCTTATTATGAATCCCAGGCTGGCCTTGAACTTGACACATAGTCCAGACTGCCCTCTAACTCACAATCCTCCTGGTCTCAGCCTCTTGAGGTACTAGGATTATAGGTGTGGCCCACCACACCCAGTTCTATAGTCAAGTATTTCCAGAAAGCCATCAACTCTCACCCTCCTTCAGAACACACATACCAGTTTCTCTCAATGAAGGTAGTTAATATTATTGGAAATCTAGGCAATGAATAACTAATAGCTTACAAAATGTTTAAAACACAACTTAACTGCCAACTTTAAACTCAAACTTGTTTTCAGGTGGTTGAGGAACTTCTTACACATACAAATTTCACAATTTCTGATAAAATGCTTAGTTTTGAGGGTATTTCTCATAGTTATTTTATGATCATATACTTGCATACCTTGATTTTTCAATAATCTAGTTTTAAAAAGCTATTACAGTTTAAGTAGAGTGAGTACAGTTAGAAAACCAAGTTCTTAGGGTCTACTGCAGACTATATTTTAAATCCTTAAAAGTTTCGTATATTGTAATGTTTTCTATCTTTTAAAATCAAATCTGAAAATCATGCCATTAAAATCTGCTTCCAGGGGATGGCAGAGTGGCTACAGTAGTAGAGTGCCTGCTTATCAAGTGTGAAGCCCTGAGTTCAAATCCCAGAACAGCCCAAAAAAAAAGATACCTGGGGTGTGGCTCAAGTGGTAGGGTGCCTGCCTAACAAACACAAGGCCCCAAGTTCAAACCTGAATATAAAAAACACACACAAAAAAACTGACAATAGTATCTGCTTCCCAAAGGGCTAGGGGTGCTACTCAAGTGGTAGAGCATCTGTCTAGCAACTACAAAGCACAGATCCTAAGTTCAAACTACAGTGCTGGGAAAAAAAAGAAAAAAAAAATCTGCTTCCTAAAAGATCATATGCCTGATCTAAAACTAATCTTTCAAAAAACATAAACAGGATGCCAATCTGACTTTAAAGTGGCATCAAAGTAGAATTCCTTCATGCCAAAAAGGAAGATACATAAGGTATCCTGAATAACAATGGAGAGCTAGGAACATAAATTACCAACCTCTGCTTTAGAAGGGAGGAAAGGAAATCTCTATTTCCATCTTACTACTTCTCACAGGTCTCTAGTAGGTGTGGCTCTCTATGACTTCTACTTCAAGGACAAACCAGCTTTCTAATGCCTTAGTCTTTAGCCCATCAGAAAAAAAGTCATCTTATTTAGTTTCACTAGAGGGAAGAGTAAGAATTATACAATTCTTCATAATATCTGTTTTTTAAAAGAATTTCCTGCCTAGTTGCCTAGCATGCAAAAAGTCCAGGGTTTATCCCAGTACTACTAGAAAAAACATTTTCTGTCAGATTTCATGGAAAAGTCAGAAATTAACACTCAAAATCCAGAGTGTGAGCCAGTCAATGAATAATTATGCACCCTCCGTAAGTCACATTTGTACTATACAACTTTCTAATTTCCTAAAATCCCTAATTTTTTCTATTTCTACCTCCGTTTCTATTTTGGCTGTGGAATGTATTCTTTCCACCAATACCAGTACTGGTAGTTAGATATTTTAATATTAAAATGTGATGCACATACTTGGAATTTTTTAAAAATTCAAAGGTTACAAAAGCACCTGATGAATAGTAAGTCTTTTTACTATCCTCTTGCATCAAAATGGTAAAATACTATCATAGTAACTACATTGCTATGTATGGATTGTCTATTAAATAAATGAGCACTAGCCCTTCCTTTGTTTTCCTCCATCTCCTAATTTTATAGATTTTTCCATTTTAAAGATTTAAAATGCATGCTACTCCACAACTGTAATTAGGCTTGTATTATACATTTTTCTAGGTTGACTGCAAAAACTAAAAAAAATAAGTACATTTATAATGTGATTTAAGCAAATACTAGTGGAAGCCAAATATAATTTTATGTCATGTACACATACTAGTTGAAGAGTTTTTTATATATTTTAGATTGAAAAACCTTTTGAATTTCCTTCTAGTTTTTTTTTTTTTTGAAGACCTCCGATTGACACTATATGGCTTTCACTGTTTCCTTCCACTCCCCACCATAACCATTTCTTCTACGTTAATTTTTATCTTTTTCATTATACTACAGTATCTTAAATACTTTCACACATGGTGTATGGTTTTTCCAAGTGTAAAATATGTACTTCTAATTCATGTTCATATGATTGGGCACAGAAAATCTACAGCTAAATCTATTGTCCCTCATACAGTGAAATCACTATTCCATTATCTTCAAGCATTCAGTATGACTGTTAAGGCACCCAGTTATTCAATTTTCCATATTTTATTCCCTCTTTTTGGCAGTCATTGTGGGGTGTTCATATCCTTAGAGATCTGAAATGTTACAGATGCAGATCGTTTCCTGCCACTGTTCAGTACTAGATATAGATTTGTTCAATCTGAAAATTATTTTTTCCCAGCTCAGAAAATTTTCTTCAATTATTTCTTCTTCCTCCTCCTTTTTCTGTCTCCCTGTCTGTCTCTTTCTCTCTTGTACTCTCTTTTTCAAGACAAGGTGTTAATTTATAACCCAAGTTGACACTAAATTCACAATGCTCCTAGCCTCATGATGTGCCACCATGTCTGGTTTAATTATTTCTTTTATTATTCTCTTTCTCATGGTTCCTGATCTCTCTTTTAGAACTTATACTTACAAATATGGAAACTTTTTGATATGTCTTCCATATCTCTTAAATGTTTTCCCAATTTTTCCAGATTTTATGTATTTATTTATTTGGAGATACTAGAGATTGAACCCAGGGCCTCACCCTTGGTAGGTAGGCTCGCTTAGCACTTGAGTTACTCCACCAGCCCTTTTTTGTGTGCTGGTTATTTCTGAGATAGGGTTTCACTTTATCCTTGGGCTGGCCTAGACTATCCATCTTATTTGTACTTCCCTGAGTAGCTGAGATGACAGGTGTACACCACTGTGCCCATTTACCAGTTAGGTAAGAGTCTCTTGAACTTTTTGCCTAGGCTGATCTCAAACCAGGATCCTCCTGATCTCATCTTCTTGAGTAGGTAGAATTACAGACATGAGCTGCCATACCCAGCCATTTTTTTTTTTTTTTGCTTCCTATATGCAGTTAATTTCTCTTAATTCCAAATCAACAAATCAGTCTTTTCTTTTTTTAACAACTCAGTTGATTCTTGCTAAATTTTTATGTAGCCCATCTAATAAAATTTTTACTTTTTTTCAAAACTTTTCTGGTTCTCTCTTTTTTATTTTAGTACAACTACAATTAACCATTACAACATGATCTTCAATCTTAAATCTCAATTGTGTTTTTCCTTGAAGTTTTCTTCTAAATTATATGTGAGGTCAGTTGTTCTTTTATTCATCTTAATCTTCCATCCTCTTGATTCTCACTCAATTGCTTGATTACTCCTAATTAGATTGGTGAATGAAAAATTTACTTTACAGAATACAGTGGGTGTGGATTTTTCTCTTTTTTTTTTTTTTTGCCAGCACTGAGGTTTGAACTCAGGGCTTCATGCTTACTAGGCAGGTGCCAGGTGTGGACTTTTCTAAGGTTGTTCAAATTTGTTTTCCTAAAGGGTTTCTCCCTTAAATGGGAATGCAATACTGTTTAAGCAGGAAGGGCACAAAGGAAGTCAAGCTGGCTAAAAACAGACAAAACTGCTTTATCCTACTAAACTATTGGCATACTTTTTTTAAAAAGTTCTTAAACTATGGGCCTGACGGAAGGCACAATGGCCACCAGAGCAGTTCAGCTGCTCAGTTTAGGATCAGAAAAGTTGTGAAGGAGTCCCAACAGATCCAGCACTTTGAAAAATAATTCTTCAAAACAATTGTTGATTATTCCTCAACTGTCCACTACTATTCTTTGTATTTGTTGACTCCAAACTTGAAGCCATTCCAAGGTTCCCCTGGAAAAATCTGCGCTTACCTCAAGTATCTTGGGTTCCGTTTCCTCTGAGATTTTGTTGTCAATCCAATTCCATGAGCTTTCTATCTTCTTCAAAATTTCTGGTCCTCTGATGGTACCTGTAGTGGACTGTGAACTATAATTTTACTGTTCAACATGCTTTCTCCCTACCCCTTTTTCCAGTAACATAATCCCTCTTTTTTTTGTGGGGAAACATGTTTCATGTAGTTTGGGTAAATGGTGGCCTCATGAGCTAGGTCTAGCTAGAATATCCCAGTCCCCTTTTCTTGGTCATCCATCTTTGCCAAGCTAAATACAAAACCAATGCAGAAGAAAACAGACCAAAAATGCTGAGAAAGAAACAGTACTGATGACATTAGTCAAGTCTGGATCTCTGCATACATCTAATGTAGATCTTTTCACTTCCTTCCCCACACACATGCAAGTACACATTAAAGTTATAGAACTAATGAAGTGCTTTTGCTCCTTGTTAGCATAATCTGATTAATATAAAGACATCTATTCTTGCTCTTCAGAATTATGATTTAATTCAGTCTTTAATATCAATGGGATACTGAGAAAGGAAGTTAAAGGAATATGCTGAATCTACCTCTTTAAAAGACAATTTTGGCCAATATCTATAAAATACAACTGAAGAATTCAAGTTGTAACTTCATAATTTACTATACATATTGGGAAATCACTGTATATTTCATTAAATATATCTCATCTTTCCATATGACACCCTTCACCTACCTTGGGGAACCAAAAACGCAGATATAAAAACAAATAATCTCTTAACTAGCTTTGTTCTGTCAAGATTCCAATGGTTTTAGAAAGAAAAATAAAGGAGAAATGGTTTGTGGTGATTTGCTAGGGATATATGTGAGGGGCACAGTGCTTTCTTAGAACGCCCAAGGCCCTGGGTTCTCACTAAAAGGTCATATGGTAGCAATTCCTAAAAGAAAATCTCTGTAGCTATGGTAGAAATACTAGGGAAACAAGTAGTGAAAGGGTTATTTTGGGTTTTTTTGTTTGTTTGTTTGTTTTGCAGTACTGAGATTAAGCTCAGGGAGCATGCTCCCAGCCTTTTTAATTTTAGAGGTGGTGGGAAAGAGAAAAAAAAAAAAAAACAGGGAAGATCACTGAGCTCTTCAATGAATGTGAAAGACGAAATCTAGTACCCTTGATTTAGGAATCATAAATTATAGTGCATGAGATCTATGCTTCAAACATCCAATAATCCCCTAAACAATGCTGTATGATTTAGGTACACTTTGGAGAACAGGTAGAACATTTTCAACAGAATCTAAAGTTCACAATCTAAAAAAGAAAAAAGAACACTGAAAATTTCATTCCACAACTTTATGTAAAGATTTAAATCCTGGTAAGTATGAAAATAAATACTCTAACACGTAAGGCAGTGTATTTATACTAGATAAATAGTTTATCTTCATTTTTTAAGAGAAATCTTGTTAAAAAGAAATCATTAGCCCCAACATGGATGAAATGATAATTTTTCCAAAATCACGCAATACTAAAGTAGGATTCAAAAGCAAAATGGCAGCTCAATTGCAAACTGTTTCCATATCAAGTTTTTTCCAGGAGAAATATTAGTAAGAAAGGTGATGGATTATTTCAGAATAAAATGTAATTATTTGTCAGGCACAAAAACTGTGAGATACTCACAGGCTAGATTTCCCTCCCACACCCACACCCACACCCCACACACACAGACACACTTTGGCAGTACTGGAGTTTGAAATCAAGGCTTCATGCACGCTAGGTATTACCACCTGAACAACACCCAACACCTCCAACACTCATGCCTGGGGTTAAAGAAATTAAAATCAGACCCCTCCTTGCTAATCCTTTGATTAAAGCTTTAAGTAAAACATTTGCTTATGGGAGTGATTAAGGTTTATGGATCTTAACATTTTAGTATGCCTGGGCCAACAAATGGGTCCTATTGTCAAGCACAGCTATTCTGGGCTCCATGGAATACAAAACAAGTTTATTCATGAATGGGAGACAAAAAACTACAATACCAAGCCTGTGGTTTTTCTGTCTTGGTATAAAAGACAAGAGAACCTGGTGACAAGGCTGAAGTAAGTAAGAACTTCGTAACTTGAAAACCTCCCACACGCTAAGTCACATTCAAAAACTTAAAAGTATATTAAAGTACTTGGATCTGCCCAAATACTGGAGTAATTGAGTTTCACGTACGTGTGTCACCTAACCCCTACCAAAAGAAGGTATTATCACGCTCATTTTGTGTGAGGTTCTGAGAGGTTCAATTTACAAGCCATACTTACCTGACAGCATGAATTAAGAGGCATAGAAGGGTCTAAACAGCATTCTTCACATTTTACATCTTGAGAACATATCCTAACAAGTCATCTACAGGGTATGTATTTTGAGTTAATATTTCAGAAATAATGAAGGGGATAGTATTCCGATCTACTCAAAATCTTCACAATCTACGAAACTCACCTCAAGATCAACCACAAGACTTTTCCAAAGATGGAGGTTAGAAAAACAAGATGAAATACAATATAGCAATACAATAATCCTGCCTTATTCATGAATTTATCACGTGGTTTTGACCAAGTTCAATCAAGAAAAAAAAAAAATCAAAAAGAAATTTCAAAAACAAAATTTTTAAACTTCCACATGCACATTACATAGCCCCATTGTTGAGGAGAAAATCTCATTCAGTCCTATTATCACTGCTTGTGCTTAAATCATTGTGTAATCTGCTGAGTGGTTCCCTGTCCTTAATTTTGTGAACCTCCCCAAAAGCAAACACTGTTCTAAAGGCAAGGTAAAAGTTATGGCAATCCTCCTAAGCCAAAGGGGACACATAATGTGCTTAATTTAAGTGACAAAGTGAAAATTTTAGATTTGTTGAAAGGCAGCATGTCTTTAGCTGAAGCTGAGCGGTATAAAGGGAAAAATGAATTAAGCTTTCCAATATTTGAAATTAAGAACATAAAATAAGACCTACTTTTTTGTTGTTGTTGTTGATGAGTAGTATCAATGTGTACAACAGTAATTTAGCCTACTCTATGTTTCAAGTAATGGATGCTTGGACCAATTGTATGTACAGTATAGATAAATTGGGAGTAATTTTAGAGTACTGAACTCTACGTATCCTGTGCATTAGTATGTCTTCCTCAACAGTGGTCTCCTTGGGACCATATACCTGCAGATACCAAGGGTCTACTACATTAACTCATTTGGAGCTCATCTAGAGGTTCTAGCAGGGGAGTACAGCTACTTGTATACCCTTGGTCTTCAGGAGAGACATACATGGAGTGGTGAAGAAGAAAGGTGACACCCATCTATCAAGCCAAATCAGCCAAATAAACCCCAGTGATCAATGGGGTGACAGATAGCCCTCACATCTTAGGACAGTCTTTTGAGAGTAGGGAAGAAGTCACTATACATAATGTGGAGTAAGATGTCATTTGTGAGGATCTGTAAAGAAGACCTACATGCAAGATGGAATGAGGTAGTGAGCTCTACAGTTTATACAAAACATTTTTCTTGAGCAATTACTAGAAAGGTCATAAAAGGGTATTAAGGGGGCAGACGAGCATGTGAGCATGTGTTACTTACTCCAACCTTGAGCAAGTGATTTATGTTTTGCCTTGATTTTTTTTTCAACTACAAAATGTGGATAATATTACTTCTTAGAGTTAAGGTTAAACAGGTAATATACATAAAGTAATTAGCTCTGCTCCTGGCACATACTAAAAATACTACTGAGATTATTTGTAATTACTCAATGTGCTATGTGCTATAAACACCTGCAGAAAAGAAGTGATATATGATCTTCATCTTCATGAATGAAGCAGTCAAAGCAAAAGAACATCCAGAGAGAATACATACATTTGGGGCATAAAGGCTGACATTCAACCCAGCAGATCCTATAACACTACAAAACCACTATAATAATTTTTAAAATATGGTGTTAACACATATAATGAAATGGTAGTTATACAAATAGATCTATGTAACCTTGGTGTAGCACTTTTACCACAAGAAATACATCCTACCATAATACAGAAAAATATAAATATGTACATATGTAGGTATATGTGTGTGTTTATATATGGACAAATGGGGGGGACGAGGGAGAGAGAGAGAGAGAGAGAGAGAGAGAGAGAGAGACAGACAAAGAGACAGAGAGTGAGGGAGTCAACTGCAGCATTGTTTGTAATGACAAAGCATTAAATACAAACCAAATTTCCATTAATTGGAAAAGAAATCATGATACCTGATAAGGGAATACTCCACAGTCATTAAAAGGAATAAGAGAAGTTTATATATATTCACGTGGTAAGAGTTTATAACAGACTATTAATTTAAAAGAAAATTTCAGATAATATACACACATGCGTGCACAAACACACAAACACACACACACACACGTATTTTTTTTGGGGGGGGGGGCGTGGTTTACTAGGGTTTAAAATCAGGGCCTTGCACTTACTAGGCAAGCTCTCTACCACTTAAGCCATGCCCCCAGCCCGCAGAGAAAATTTTTGTAATGTTCCCATTTATGCAAAACAAAAATTTGGTTACATAATTACATCTGTATATAAAGGCATAATATTATATACACTTCAAACTTTATACTTGAGATACAAAAACAGATATTTCACCTCTAAAATCATAATCTTGTAGTCTATATTTACCATAAAAATTAATAAAATAGATACTATAATCTTTTAAGGTTCCACCAATATTAAATAAATAAATATAACACTATTCACAGTTCAGTATCATTGGTATAAACTTTAGAACAGACTTTATATTTAAAGGATGTTATCCTATCTGTCCAAGAGAATTACTTATTATCTACATTAGGTCTTATAGAAGACCTTCTGTTTTGGCATTTCCTGAACAGCAGCTTCATTAAGTTTTAAATCATTTGCATTACCTGAAATATATAAAATAGGATTAGAAATTTAACTCAATTATTAGAGCAACTGCCTAGCATGTGCGAGGTCCTGTGTTCAATTCCCAACACTTCCAACGCAAAAAAGATATTTGAAATGTATAAAATAAAATGAGAGTTCAAGGCCATGGTGCCTTCAACTACAGTGAGTTCAAGGTGAGGATGAGCTATATAGTCAGACGGCCTTTCAAAAAGAGAAAGGGCTAGGGATGTAACTCAGTGACAAGAGTACTTAGCAGGCACAATGTTCTGGATTCAACCACCAGCCCTGGCTGGATTAGATCACCAGCAATGCCCATTAAAATCTCAATGTCATTCTTTGAGAAACAGAATAATCAATCCTAAAATTCATTCAGAAGCATTAAAGACTTCAAATAGCAAAAGTAATTCCTGAGTAAAAAGAGCAACACTAGAGGTATCACAATACTAGACTTCAGATTATACTGCAGAGTCACAGTAACAAAAATACCATGCCATGACACTGGCAAAATACAGACACTAAGACCAATGGAACAGAACAGAATAGTAAAACCATACAACTATAGCCATCTGTTCTTTGATAAAGGAGCCAAAAACATACGCTGGAGAAAACACAGCCTCTTCAACAAATGATGCTGAGGAAACTGGTTATGTACATGCAAATACAGATGAACCACGAGAGCATTATCTAAATTGAAATAAGACAGTCACAAAAAGACAAATACAGTATGATTTCACTTACATGAGCTACTTAAAGTAGGAAAATGCAAACAAACAAAAATAGAATGGTAGGTACCAATAGTTAGAAGCATGATAATGTGGAACTGTTAATCAATGGATATATAGAACTATTTTAGGTTACAAGATGAAAGGGTTCTGGATTTCTGTTGCCCAACAATGTAAATATACTTAATACTACTGAACTATACACTTAAAAATGATTAACATAGTAATTTAAATTTTTTTTTAATTTTTAGTTATAAAAAACAGGTATTGCCAGTAGTATACATCTGTAATCCCAGCTATCTGGGAAGCAGAAATAGAAGAATCACAGTTCAAAGCCAGCCTATGCAAGAAATTATTGAAGGCCTACACACAAAGGTATGATAGTTTACATCCTTAATCCCAGCTAAACGGGAAGCAAAGGTAGGAAGATTGTGGTGCAAGGCCAACTCCAAGCAAAAGTGCACAATAACTAAATACAACAGGGCTGAGGTCATGGCTCAAGTGTTAGCAAATGCAAGGTCCTGAGTTCAAACCTCAGTATCTTAAAAAAAAAAAAAAAAAAAAAAAACAAGAATTCAGTTTAGTGGTAATATATAAGACCAAGATATCAAAATCAATAGGGTCTTATACTCCAACAGTAACCAATTATATTATGTAATGGAAGAAAAAAATCATTAAGAACCATAAAATAATCTATAATAAACTCTACAACAAATGTGCAAGACCTATATGTACACTACAAAATTTTGTTAAAGGTACATGAAGGGCCTGAAAAAGTACAAGTATGCCACCATGTTTCTGGATTGGAATATTCAGTAATATACATCTACTCCCCCCAAATTAATCCAAATTTCAATTGATATCCTATCAAAATATAAATGAAAATATTTTAATATGTCAATGTGCCAAAGTTGATTCTAAAGCACATGTGTCAAGTTAAATGCACAATACCCAAAACTCCTAACAAACAAGATCAATGAGGGAGAGTACTATCTGCAAAGACATCAAAGCATACTAACACATTGTATCGAATCATATGAAATCAGGTATTTAATGACTTCTGACTTACAAGAACAGCAACATCACAAGTTTCAAATAGCATTAACATTTACATGTACACAGGAATAAACAAATCACTGTGAGGAATTTGGGGGTGTTAAACACTCAAATTCCTTCATTCACCTCCACACACAAACCCCTTTCTAAGTGGTAAGAAATCGCCATAGATATAAGCACTTACTGATGTACTTAATACTAATAAAGCTTGGACAAAGACCAGCAGGGCTTCTATTTTTCACCCCAGTTCAACTTGCCATGCTGCAGGAATAAAACTGAGAGGTAGGAGGAAAAAGACATGTGGAGCGGAACATCTTCTCCAACAGCCCTGGAGAGGGAACAGTATCGACTTTGAAACCTAAAGGACAAGAAAAAACAAAGAGCCAGAGGAAGAACATCAAAGAAAGTTAGAAAGTAAAAAAGATCCCAAGAAAGTGTACGTTTCTAAGAACCTTTCAGTTCAGTGTAACAAGATAATAAATGAGCCAAAAAGGATACAAAATGAGGCTAAAAGGAGAAGTAGCCATAAAAAGTCTTGCAGACCAAGTTAGCAGCAATGAGAAGTCAAATAATGATTTATATTCGGAAAGAAGGGCCTACTTATTGCATGAAGAATGAATGGAGTATGGGAGATGAGACTCTGTCTGAAGAGCTAAGAGACCAAATTTGGAGGCTAATATGTAATCCTTACATAAAATAATGCTGGTGTGATGGTAAGTAACAAAGGAGAGAAGTTCAAAGATTCAAGTTATACTTTGGAAGTCTTACGCTTTTCTTTCCCACTCTCCAACCATACCAGCTCAGCAACAGAACCCTCTTTCCTTGGGAAACTATCTCTTAAGGCTCAGATAGAAATGCTGTCTATGGCACCTCCTATGTATGGAATAGAAAAACATGATCGAGGACCCAGATATGAAGCCACACAACTATAACCAACTTGTCTTTGACAAAGGAGCTAAAAATATACGATGGAGAAATAGCAGCCTCAACAAAAACTGCTGGGAAAACTGGTTAGCAGTCTGCAAAAAACTGAAACTAGATACATGTATATACCCTATCCAAGATTAACTCAAAATGATTCAAGGATTTAATATCAGACCCAAATCTAAAGTTGATACAGGAAAGAGTAGGAAATACTCTGGAGTTAGTAGGTATAAGTAGAACTTCTCAATGAACCCAGCAGCACAGCAACTAAGAGATAGCATAGATAAATGGGACCTCATAAAGCTAAAAAGCTTCTGTTCATCAAAAGAAATGGTCTCTAAACTGAAGAGAACACCCACAGAGTGGGAGAAAATATTTGCCAACTATACATCAGACAAAGGACTGATAACAAGAATATATAGGGAACTTAAAAAAATAAATTTCCCAAAACTAATGAACCAATAAGATATGGGCAAGTGAACTTAACAGAACTTCTCAAAAGAAATTCAAATGGCCAAAAAACATGAAAAATATGCTCACCATCTCTAGCAATAAGGAAATGCAAATTAAAACCACGCTAAGATTCACTCACCCCTGTTAAATAGCCATCATCAGCAAACCAACCAACAACAGGTGTGGCGAGGATGCGGGGAAAAAGGAACCCTCTTAACACTGTTGGTGGGAAATGTAGACTAGTACAACCACTCTGGAAAAATATTTGGAGGCTACTTAAAAAAAATGGACACAATCTACATTTGATCCAGCATACCACTCTTGGGGATATACCAAAAGACTGTGACACAGGTTACTCCAGAGGTACTGCACATCCATGTTTATGCGGCACTATTCCAATAGCCAAGTTATGGAAACAGCCAAGATGCCCAGCACTGACGAATGGATAAGAAAATGTGGTATATATACACAATGGAATTTTATGCAGCCATGAAGAAGAACGAAATGTTATCATCCTGGTAAATGGATGGAAGTGAGAACATCATTCTGAGTGAGGTTAGCCTGGCCAAAGACAAAAAATCGTATGTTCTCCTCATATGTGGACATTAGATCAAGGGCAAACACACAATGGGATTAGACTAGAGCACATGATAAAAGCGAGAGCACACAAGGGAGGGGTGAGGATAGGTAAGACACCTAAAAAACTAGCTAGCATTAGTTGCCCTTAATGCAGAGAAACTAAAGCAGATACCTTAAATGCAACTGAGGCCAACAGGAAAAGGGGACCAGGTACTAGAGAAAATGTTAGATCAAAAAGAATTAACCTAGAAGGTACACCACGCACAGGAATCAATGGTGAGTCAATACCTGTATAGCTATCCTTATCTCAACCACAAAAACCTTGTCCTTCCTGTTATGTTTATACTCTCTCTACACTACAAAATTAGAAATAAGGGCAAAATAGTTTCTGCTGGTATTGAGGGGGTGGGGGGGAGAGGGAGGGG